GTCAATCACCTGGGCACCCCTCCCCAACCACCCACCCACCCCTTATCCTGACCTGTGTCACCTTGTCACCGCTGCCACAGGAGGAATAACCCACACTGGTCATGGCCAGGGGACAGGCAAGACCTCAGCCCTCAGGGTGTTGGGAAGTGGGGACCATTCCCCTCTCCCAGGGGACAGGGACACCAGACCTCAGGGTGTTGGGAAGTGGGGACAGTTCCCATCTCCCAGGGGACAGGGACACCAGACCTCAGGGTGTTGGGAAGTGGGGACAGTTCCCCTCTCCCAGGGGACAGGGACACCAGACCTCAGGGTGTTGGGAAGTGGGGACAGTTCCCCTCTCTCAGGGGACAGGGACACCAGACCTCAGGGTGTTGGGAAGTGGGGACCATTCCCCTCTCCCAGGGGACAGGGACACCAGACCTCAGGGTGTTGGGAAGTGGGGACAGTTCCCATCATCTCCCAGGTTTCAAGGAGAAATCCAGCTCCAGTCCCACCTCACCTCCTCCACCTCATCTATCCGCAGGGAGAAGTTCTTCACGAACTCGTAGATATCATCCATCAGCCCCAGGGGCAGGTCCTGTGTGGGAGCAGAGAGAGGTCAGCATGGCTGCTGGCTCCAGGGAAGCAGCAAAAGGTGACATCACCCACTCAGGGTGACACCCTACACATCCCTGTCACACTGGAATGACTCTCCAGGACCCCCCCCTCCCCCTCTTACCTGGTGCACCCCACCAGGACGGATGTAAGCAGCGTGCATCCGCGCCCCCGATACCCGCTCGTAGAACTCAAACATCTGTGGGGACAGAGAAGATCCCACTGCCCCACAGCACCAAATCGACCCCCCATCCACCCCCCCAGTGCCACTGTGCTGCTTTTTACCTTCTCCCTCTCCTCAAACATCCAGAAAAAGGGGGTCATGGCCCCGATGTCCAAGGCGTGCGTGGTCACAGCCATGATGTGGTTGAGCAGCCGGGTTATCTCTGCGAAGAGAACTGGGGACAGAGGGGGACAAAAGGAGGGGGGGGTGAGCACCCCTCAGCTTCCTGACCCCCTGGGGAAGGGGGAACAGGGGGTTGAGCCCCTCAGAAAGCTGCTTGAGGTCTCAGCAAGGCAGGGAGGGAGGTGAAGCCACGGGGTGAGGTGGAGCTGCTGTCACCTCGGATCCACTGAGCCCGCGGAGGTGGGCGGATGTTGAGCAGCTTCTCCACGGCCAAGGAATAAGCTTGTTCATTGCACATCATGGAGACATAGTCCAGACGGTCAAAATAAGGCAAAGCCTGGTGAAAAAAATACCTTAGAGTGTTGGAAAAGGGCTGGGAATGTCAGGAAAACTCAGAGGTTTTGCCACAACCAAGATACAACCCCTAAAAACAACATCTTCCCAGTTCTGGGTACTCCAAACATGATAGAAATCATGAAAACAACCCCAAAAAATTCCACCCTGGGCTGGAGCAGCTCTGCCCTGGGAGGGGGTGTTCACAGAAAAGCCAAACATCCCACTGGGAGAATTTTCCAGCTGTCATGAGTGTCCCTCAGCAGATACCAGCTGAGAACTGTCCCCATCCCAACGCTGCAGCGGAGCCAAGATGGTGTCCCCCCCCCCTCACCC